TGTCCTATAATGGGTTTTTTTATTATTATTATTTAACACAAACTGACACAATGTATTAAATCCATTTTGTGTTGTTAGACACATCTAAGAGATAGCAAATATCTCTGAAGGACCTAAATCACGCATGGTGCAAATTCATTCATTTATTGATCTTCAGTATCGTCAGGTGCAAGGCAGAATAATTAATTTCAGATGGGCTTTACAGTCAGTTTAGCATAATCAATGCACCTACATGTTAAACTCCACACAGACAGTAACTCAAACTCAGAATAAGGAGACCCTGTAGCTTAAAAAATTGCAGTGCACCTCCAAGCCACTGAGGAAACTAAACTCTGAAGAAGTATTTCTGCTCATGGAAAATAAACAATGATTAGGAAACTATTGACTCAAGGAGTCTAGAGACTGTGTGGCAACCATCCAAGATTTATAAGTAGAGTAGAGCTCACCAGAATCAAATAGATCACAAAGATGAATGTTAGAAGTCTACATGAATAGGCTATGCTCCCTCTTAGTGACATTTTTAATATTAGAATAGAAAGAATTTTGAGATCCTCAGCAAAATTGGTAAATTCATCACAAAACCTTATACTTCTCATTGCAGTCAGTAGCTGAGGAACTCCATTCTTGTGTATCTCTATGGAGGCAGCAGTGAAAACATTCTACATGGCTGAACCAATAACTCTTCCTACTTCTCATTCTAGCTCTCATGTGTATTATGAAATGCACTAAAATGCCTTCATTGTATTGTGCTACAGCAATTCAAACACATCTTTGTTAGTGTCAATTTCTTCAGCCATTCTTCGAATATACTCATGAATAGCCTGGAGTGTTTTGTTAGAGTTGTCCAAATAATCAAAAAAGAACAACTATCTTGCTTGTTTTTTACTGGGTTGGCCAAGATCTCAGGACAGATAATGTTGGATTATTTCCCCCCCAATTAATTCTAAGGGGTTGTATTTGATGTTAGTCTGTGATACATTAAAGAATATGTGGAGGATAATATAAAAGCAAAGTATGTGGGTACTTACACTGCCTTCCACTAATATTGGAACTAGAGCTGGGCAATAAAACAGTATCTGTATTTACCAACGATACACCTTTATCGATAACTATAGAAAAATATGTTCAGTATAACAAAATGTAAACTGACATGAAGTTTGGTTGCATGAACAATCCTCAAGCGTGGACCATCCCTGGATCATAAATAGCCTATCATATGCCTTGATAAAGGAGTGTGCTACGAGTGACAAGCAAACAGCCAATAAAAATAGCCAATAAGTTGCGTATCTGTGGGGTTCTGATGTCACATCACAACACACAAACAGATGAAAATGAGCTCAGTGCCTGCTGAGGAGATTGTGAATAAAAAAGGACATGTCAGCTTACCAGTGTGGCAGGTTTTTTTGGTTTCTTTTCATCTAACCAACTTCAGAACAACCCCCCCTAACCCTCCCACCCAGCCCCAACCGAAAAAAAAAAAAAAGCCTCTGTGCATGTGAATCTGAACAGTGGTCATGCCACTTTTTGTGTTTTTTATTAAAATGTTGACTCTGGGGAGGACAAAGAATGTCCTCAGAGCAGGAGCTTGGCTCATCAGACGCAGACCTCAGAACAGTGTTATCCGGAAGTAAGTGTTAAGGTGGAAGTTTTGTACAAGGCTAGGCTAATTATGCTAAAAGGCTGAGGACAAGCCATAGCACCAGGAGTCATATTCTGCTCTATAATGCGATGTTGATCTCCATTAAAGTTTGCCTTTTATATTGCACACATTTTGTAGCAGTTTATTTATTAAGTTCAAGAGTTCATTTAACACAATTTATTTCATATAAGATAGAAGAGAATATATTTGTTTAAATTCTATTTTGTTTTTGAGTGTTAAAAATTATTTGTTGCTTGCCTTAATAAAGTGGGTAAATTTAAAATACAGTTGTTCAAATGAACCATTTTTTCTATGGGTCTTTGTTTAAAAAAAAATTAATCAATAATTGTCGATACTTAATGATATGAAACATTATATCGTGATAATTCTTTAGCTGTACCGCCCAGCCCTAATTGGCACCCTTGGTAAATATGAGCAATGGACCAAGGAATATAGCTGTGTGTTAGTCAATCGAGGTAAAGACAGATACAAGTGCAGATAAAGTTGAATAAAAAACAAAAAAAACAAAACAGAAAACACGAACTATGGGACTACTAGCAAAAAGACTATGAAATAAACATAAAATGACCATAATGCAGCAACAGGAAACAACAACAAAATATGACAGATGAAGGATAATGTGTGCAGTGCAAAATGTGACTCATATAAAAGTGCTCATTCCCCCAAATGTGAATCAGGTGCAGACAGTCATATAACATGATCAAATACTACTTGTATTGTTCCCTGCTTGATATATCGCTTTGCTTATTTGTAAGTCGCTTTGGATAAAAGCGTCTGCTAAATGAATAAATGTAAATGTAGGTGAGGTGCAGTGGCTGATGGAATCGTAGACTCTAGTCCTTTTCCCATATTTACATGGCAACAAGTTTGTTGAGCTTCACAAAATGGGAAGTAGCTATAAGAATATAGCAGAAGCAATGAAAATGTCCATTTCCACCATCAGGACAATAATTAAGAAGATCCAGTCAACTGGAAATGATAGGAATCAACCTGGAATTGGACATGTTTATATTGTCTCACTGCACTAAAGAGGATGGTTTGAGTAGCCATAAAATCTCCAAGGACCACAACTGGAGAATTGCAGAAGTTAGTTTCATCTTGTTTTCAGAAAGTCTCCAAAACTACAATCCAAAGTCACCTACATCACCACAAGTTGTTTGGAAGGGTTTCAAGAAAAAAGCCTCTACTCTCATCCAAAAACAAACTCAAGTGTCTTCAGTTTACCAGACACTACTGGAATTTCAATTGGGATCGGGTTCTATGGTCAGATGAAACCAAAAAAGAGCTTTTTGCAATAAACACCAGAGGTGATTTTGGCACACACAGAGAGGTAGCCATATGGAAAAGTACCTCATTCCCACAGTTAAACATAGTGGTGGCTCTTTAATGTTTTGGGGCTGTTTTTCTGCCAAAGGACCTGGATATTTTCTTAGGATACATGGCATCATGGACTCCATCAAATATCAACAGATATTAAATGTAAACCTGACTGCCTCTGACAGAAAGCAAGAAAAAGGGCTGTGGTTGGATCTTCCAGCAGGACAATGATCCAAAACACAAAAATGATTTACTGACCACAAAATCAAGGTCCTGCCATGGCCATCACAGTCTGCTGACTTGAAACCCATAGAAAACCTGTGGGGTGAACTGAAGAGGAGAGTCCACCAGCGTGGATCTCAAACTTTGAAGTATCTGGAGAGATTCAGTATATTGGAATGGTCTCAGATCCCTTTCCATTCTCGAACCTCATCAGGCATTATAGGAGAAGACTCAGAGCTGTTATACTGGCAAAGGACAAAGTATTGACTAAACGTGTGCAAATTATTGTGATACACATATTTAACAAAGCTATATATATATATATATATATATATATATATATATATATATATATATATATATTAATAAACCTGATTTGTGTTTGCAATTGATTGATATCTGTGAGAGCACTGTATTTTTTGTTTTTTTTTAAATTCTATTTATTTATTTATTTATTTTATTATTATTATTATTATTATTATTATTATTATTTATTTTTATTTTTATTTTTATTTTACAAAAGATCAAAAGGTTTAACAATAAAGACAATTTTCCACAGCCTTCTTTGCTCATATTTACCAATTTGAGAAATATTAGTGGCCAATATTTAGGCCAAAATAATGACCAAATAAATTTGCCTCTGAGGGAACAATATAAGAATCCTTGGACACCTTTACAAAAGAAAACAGACCTATAGAAGAAATGACAGAATGAGAAACCAGTTTCCAAGAGGAGCACCTTAAATGTCAATCTTAGTCATATAAAATTGAATAATATAATTTCTCTACATTAGAAAATTTTATTCCAATAAGCAATTCCTTAAAACTTATACACAGTATTTTAATGACTTATTACAGTGTAGATAAGGTAGAGTCATGTAGCCCCAAAACAACACTCTTCAGGAATGAAACCAGTTGTGGATGAATTCATGAAAGTTCATCAAACTTATGAACCTGTTGTATGAAGCTGGTTTTGAATTAAACTGCATTTAACTTATTTGGATCTGCATTCTCAAATGTCAGAGAATTTTACGCAAGTGCAAGATGAGCAATCCTAGAGTCAAAAAACAGGCACAGGTCGGGCAATCAGCAAACTTTACAAGGGCAAAACAAAGAGCATAGTAAATATGAAACAAAGTCAGGAAATCAGAAACACAGCACAATCTAGAAGGCTTAGCATCATTGCTAGGCAAAGCAATAAGAGACGTTGTGAGACTTCACAAAGTTGAAAAGTACTGAATTGTAGTGTGTGTGATTGTGCACAAGTGTGTGTAATTAGAAAAGAGATTCATGGAAACAGGTTTGTATTCTGTGGTATTCATGGGAAATGGAGTTAGACTTGAGGTCGTGAATTCTAGGAATTGGGAATTCACAGCTAAAACCAGCCGTAACATTATACCAACACCAATAGTCATTCATACTAAAAGATGGCCGGGCCTGTGACTTCATCACTAGATAGCCTACTAATTAATAAAATCAGTATCTGAGAATACTTTGAAGAGGTATATTCCCTGAAAAGAAATGTTTGCTCAACTCCCAACCTTGTGTTAAAGAACTCATAGTCCATCCATTTTCTGTACTGAATATCCTACACAGGGTAGCCTGGAACTTATCACAAGGGACACTGGGCACAAGGTGAGGGACACCCTGAATGGGGTGCTAACTCATAGAAGGGTACAATTACACACACATTCTATTTAGAGATGCCAGTCTACCTACAATGCATGTCTTTGTACTGGGGGAGGAATTCAGAGTACCCGATGGAAACCCCTGAAGCACGGGGAAAACATGCAAACTCCGCACAGCATAGGAGGGATTCGAGCCCCCAGACCTGGAGGTATGAGGCCAATGTGCTAACGGCTAAACTACCATGCACTCATACTATTTACAACATAATTTTTCTTGGATATATATTGAAATAAAATAAAATAAAAAGTATCATCACTGTATGAAACCACTGTATGAAGCTGTATCATTTCCCTACTCCAAACAAAACTGCATGGAAATAATATTTTTTTTGAAACATCCACCTTTTTTTTCTTCTGGGATGGTTCTGATGTTCTATTTTATTGGATTAAATTAAAAGACAAAAAACAAACAAAAAAAATCCACAGGCTCTGTTAAACACACACAACTGATACACCAGAGACAAATAAGACATAAAGTTTCCTTACCTTGCTCAAGAATGACCTCCAGATTTGTCTTTGTCAGACTAACATAGCTATTAAGCTTTTGCTGGACGGTTTTAAGATCGCTGAATTCTTTCACGTTGAAGGCAAATGAGGGATTGTGAGAAATAGCTGCAATCTGTTTGGAATCTGCATTTTTCACCCCAATACCAAAAGGTACCACTCCGTCAGTCTTTAACACACCGGCAGGTTCCCTTACACTGTCCCTTGACTTTCCTCCAGTCAAAACAATCAGAAACTGGGGGATGTTTTGGGCTGCTCTGCCCCCAGAATTTGATGATAAAATTGTGTTTTTCATGTATGTTAATGCAGCTCCAGTATTAAGACTCCTGCCGCCAGCTGGACTCATCTGCTTTAGAGCCCTCAAGACTTCTTCTTTTGTTTTGAAGGTATTTAGGAAGAAATTAGGAGTCGGTCTCTCACTGTGTTGGACAATGGCAATTCTTACTTTATCATCAGCAACATCAAGGGGCTCAATTACTTTGATTATGAAGTCACGAATGTGTGAGAAATCTCCTCTAACAGCATCAGAGCCATCTATCAGAAATGCAACATCTCTCTCACCACGATCAGTAACTGCAGGAATAGTAACTGTTGAACAGAAAAAAGTAAACACAAATAAAATTTGAAACTTATTTTCAACTTATTTTCAATATTTGCTAAATATTGCACTTATGCAATATTTAGCAACAAAAGCTGGAACTCACCAGGGTCTCCAACTACAGAGATAAGTGGTGCCATAATTGTATCAGCAACCCTTGACAAGTCAGCAAAGCTGTTTTGATAGTATGCCAGATTTTCAACAAAAGCAACTTTCTTCAGTTCACTCTCATCCACCTGGCCAGCTCCAACGCCAAAAGTCAAGACTCCGGCCATTGCTACTTGGTCTGCAATGCTTCTGACCTCGTCTTGAGATGGACCGCCAGTGATTAGTACCAGGACTTGCTGGATTCCTTGTCTCCTACGAGAACCAACCGATTCCTGGAAATGGTTTGCTAAGGCATAACGAAGGGCTGCCCCAGTATTCAGTACATTTCCTCCAATTAATCTTAACTGAGCGATGTTATCAAGCACTTCTTGTTTGTTGGCATAAGAATTCAAGTAGAACTCTGTCCTTTGTCCCTCAGCAAACTGGATCAGGCCAATGCGCACTCTTTCAGGTCGAACATCCAGCTGGCTAACAATACTGGAGATGAAGTCTCGTACAGCAGGCAAATTAGCATTTCCAACATAGTTGGATCCATCAACCAAGAAGACAATGTCCCTAATTACTCGCTGGACATGTGTGATGGTCGTCGTCGTTACTGTGTGAAGATAAATTGGAATTAGAATATATGTGGTCTCTCTGTAAATAACAGCTGTTTTGTTTGGTTTTAAAAAAATATATAATTCCTAAAAGTAGATTTCCCAGATTATGGACTTATTTAACTTGTCAACATATACAACATAATTTGCTGAATTATAAAGAAACAGATTACTACGGTTATATTCCAATTAGATTATTTATTGTTAGAAACATATATTTTTTAAAATTTAATGTAGCACAAGAATACTTTAAGATAAGAAGTTGAAGATTCTTCAATAATTCAGACCAGGTCTTCAATAATTCTTGAGCGTTCTTTTCAACTTTATTTATTAGTATAGCTATACCCATATGCTGTACATTTGAGTTCTACAGAATATGAGTTTATTACGAGATAGAATAATTTGTGAAAAAAGTCGCAATATTTAGAGAATAAAGTCATAATGCATAATAATTTGTGTGTTAAGATGCTTATTATAAGTTATTGTTTCTTATCTTGATGGAGAAATCACAGGCACTGGTCAATGAGGATGCGTATATAAATGATAAAAACAAAAATAATGCTCAAGAAGATAAGAATTTCTTTATATGTAAAATAATGCATTGCTTTATTTTCAGTGTTCTGATATGTATTTTTCTGACTTTTTCTTGAAATATTATTTTATTCTTGGAATATTACAACTGTATTCTCAAAATCTTTTTTTTTAACAACAAAATTACAAAACAACAACTAATTGTTGTTAGGGACACATGCATTTTATGATTACTTCTTATGATGCCATCATGACAAAATGTAGAAGTTAGTTGCTCTTATATGAAAAAGAAATTACCTGTGTCAGTTGGCCCAACAAAACCTGAAAGTGTTGATAGTGCCGATACAACCTTTTTGGGGCTGCGCAGTAACTGACGGAAGTCCTTAAACATGTAGACAAGGTTTTCAGCAAAAGCAATCTGCTTGAGTTCTGCTTCTTCGGCAGCTCGAGAGCCAACAGCCATGGTCAAGACCCCCATTTGTTGCAGGGCCTCAGCTGGTTCCTGGACACTGTCTTTGGACTTTTTGCTTGAGATCAGCAACAGAAGCTGGGGCACATTTTCTTGAATGCGGCTTCCTTTCTCAGGTATAAGCATGTTGGTTCTTACAAAGTCAAGAGCGGCACCAATGTTGACCTCATTTGACTGTTTAGGTTTAATTTGGGCAAGGGCAGAGATTAGGGATTCCTTTGAGCTGTATGAGTTCAGGTCAATTTCAAGTCTTGGTGTGTTGGAAAACATAGTCAATCCAATTTGTACCTGATCAGGTCCAATTGGCATTGTGTCAATAAATTTTTTGATGAATTCACGAATTGCATTGACTAATGTGGGACCCATGCTGCTGTCAATGAGAAATATTATGTCTCTTTTCGAAACAGGCAGTTCTGAAATGAAAAAGGCAAAGTAACATGTTACATTTGTTCCCAAGTATAATGTTTATTATATAAAGAGAAATCATCACTTTTCATATTATTGTCAATGTTACCATTTTAGTTCCCATTTAAATGCTCTATAACTAGATAAACCAGTGTGGCTTCACAGCTTTTTCGCAGCATTTGGTCTTTAATGAGCATAACCCTTGGCTCTGGGATTTTCTTTAAATGAAATTGTAGTTAAACGGATATTACTTTTTTAAAAGGTTGTGTTAATAACAAAAATGTCAACTTTTCTTATCTGCATAAAACCTTTGCATGGGTATAACTGACTGCAACTGTATATTTAATACAACTTCTCCAACCTGATTAGCTTACAACTATTTATGTAGATGTTGTTTTTTACTATTTTCTTCAGCTTTTGATCACTGCAAATGTAATCTGCATTTGTTCTGAGTGTACTGAGGCTACATAACAATGAGGGAATACATGCTCTTTAAGAAATCACTAGACATAAAATCATTGATAACACTTTAAAATACAGAAAGCTATATTAATTAACAAGATTTCCTACATTACTAAGTATTACCCAAACCCAGAAAAGTATTATTATGAGTTATGTTTACATAGTGAGGATTCAGTACAAAAATTACACTCATCGTTATTCAGATTTCGATACAAACGTTAGACTTTGTCTGACTTAAAAAAAACAACAACACACGACCTTTGGTCATCTGACAGACACATAATCACTCACATAGACATTTAGATATTAAACATTGAGGTACTGGAATAGGCTGAGGTGACTCTCCATGAGGAAGGAAGGTTTATTTATTTAGAATTAATGCCGATGTGATCAGACCTTAATCAGTAGTTATTATAAATTAGCCATAGTTAACTAGTACATATAAATTTATGACTTACAGAAGTGGGTTCTTCCAGTAACAGGTGTATATAAATTTGGATCGTATGACCGTTTAATTGCACACAGCTGACACACTGAACATGTAACTAATTGCGTGACAGCTCATCACAACTTATTTAGGGGTTTCAGAGCATAGGTATAAAATGTGGAAAGGTTCAGGGTGGGTGAGGGGTATAGTACTGAACATAGGAAGGGAGAATCGTTTTGTCATAATATTGTGTTATAGCACTTTATTTTCAGACTACTGGACTAATTTATTTATTTTTTTATTAAGTCTTGTGAGTTAAGTGTTAGTAATAATGTTCATATTAAAGGATTGACAATAATGTTTTTCAATTAAAATGATTGAAGGGTTTCATTTGCAATCACAATCTCTAATTTAGAAATTCCACAAAGGAGTCAAAAGTGGCAACAAATACTCAACTGAAATATTAATTTGGAATCTTTGTATAGCATTCACAGTGACTGTGACCGTTTTTTGTTTTTTTTTTGTTATTGTGCTCCAGGAGCCTTTGAAGGTGGTGAAATTTTAGCATGTGAAATTTGTTTTTGCTTTTTATTAATGAATGTAACTTTTCTTTAGTCATCACAAAGTTTGACATCTGTTTAAAATGAATGGCTGTAGATGATGATGATAATGATTATTATTGTTATTGTTAATTATACAGATATGTGGGGAAAAAAAGTACACCCCCTGGAAATAGTTGACTTTTCTGAAATATTTGGACAAGCAAACATTTGATCATCTTTGAAACAGTGCCTATTAATGAAGTTAATATACTTGCACAAAACCACATGGAAAATGAGCTTTTTCAATCATTTATTTAAAAGAAATATCAGTAGATATGATATTCTTATATGGAAAAAGTAAGTACACCCTTGGCCTGAATGTCACGTTACGTCCAGCAGAGGGCACTGTGGCTAGTCTTGGACAAGCCACGTGACTTTGTTTTGAGTTCGCTCACTTCCGAGCATAACTGTCGTGATTTGCCACAGGTGTATGTGATTTAAGTTAATGCTACTTTGTATTGGGAATGCGTGTTATTTAAGCTCCT